TCGCGATTTTCTTTCTATTCCCTTTTCTCGTTTCGCGCGCAATTGCACGTCCCGAGCCTCGAAAAATGCCACGGTTCGACGTAACCGGGAATCGCGTCAGCTCCGGCCGTGTTTATCGGTCCTTGCTTCACCCCGTGTACACGTATTGCTTGTCTTGTCCAATCAGTCGAGCAAGGGTATAGCTAGAAAGGGGAGAGAAGGAGCGACGCGAACCAGCCTTGCAAATTAATGTCTCTTTATTTCGTTGCGAACATTTCGTTAAAGCCTGATTTATCGCCATATACATCGCGGCTGCCTTTTTATCAGATCGATCGCCCGCGGCTTCGATCGTTCCTTTAATTATGCAACGGCCGTACGGATCCTATTCGCGGCCTGCAGCTAATAATAACGATCGAAGACCACGCGCGATCTCGTTTCCTTTCCTCGCGCGAGATTCCGCCATTTTTTCCTTTTCTCTCCGTCCAACGGGCAGAGCGTTAATAAAACGGCCGCGAGCACGCCCAAAGTAGCATAAGGCGTAAGTGCATTGCTCAAAACAATCGGAGAATCAGATTTCTAAACGCGATATCAGGCCCGAATGAAATATGCCGCGTTAAACTCCACGCTGTTCCGTTCGGGCTCGTTTCGTCCGAAATGGCTTCCATTTAAGCAGAAAAATGATCTATGGACGTTGCCGCGCACTGATACACGGGATAACGTTGGTAAATAAGCACGGCTTGGAAAGTCCACGTCACGGGTAACATTGAGATATGGTAAACGGTATCTTCGCGGGTACACGCCTGGGAATTAACGAGAATTATCTCGAGATCGCTCGATTATCGTATCCGTCTCTGTGCTGGATCGAAAAATCCACGGATCAACGAACGTTTCTGCCAATCAAAATTGCTCGGCGATCCTTTCTCCTCGTTAAGAGAGAGCAACGAGTTTCCCATTTGTCGCGTTCGCCGCGAATATCGGCCATTTATTGCCATTGCCGCCGCTATCGAATTCACCTGACTTTTCTCGCTCGCCACTTTCAGCGGCAGCCATCTCGGTCCTTGCTTTTCCCTCCCGGCACCGCCCGTTGTCCCGTTAATGGAAATATCTTCCGTACGAGTTACACACCCAGCCCAGAAAGCTAATTAACCATAACTTTCCGCAAACGGACGTAACGCGCGTTATCCTCGTCCCATAGCCAGCAACCGCCTCCGAGTCGGTAACGAGTATTCCCGAGGGACGAGTCCTTGTCATTCTCAACTGCGTGCTCCTTATATATCTTTCAATTTCGTCTCCAGGAATCGTCTAAACGTCACTCCGAATTGGACCATGCAACGAACGATGGTCATTTGACCCTTCAAAGTCACCCAAATATCCCTTCGACTACGACGTGCAACCACGTCTCTCGATCAGTTGACTAATCGTCCCTTGATCCTTAGGGATTATTCAAACGTTCCTCAAACTTTGGATGATGAATAACGCAAAGAAATCTTCCAGTTTCATTGGTTAATCGCGATATCGTCTTCAACAATCGGTCAAAAGTACCCCGAACATTGCAACACACTGTCAACACCTATCTGTCCCCGTTCACCGATGTTCATTAGTCTCTGGCGAATCGTCCAAACGTTCTTTCCAATTTCGTAAAACGTATCACGCAAAGAATGATAGTCATACGATCTTTCAAAGCCACCCAAATATCCCCTCGACCTGTGCATGCAACTATGACGTGCAACCACGTCTCTCGATCAGGTGACTAATCGTCGCTCGATTCTCAGAAATCATCCAAACGTCCCTCGAACTTTGTAAGATGGATAACTCAAAGAAATCTTCCAGTTTCATTGGCTAATCGCGGTATCGTCTTCAACGATCGCTCACAATCGCTCGAACGGACTTGGAACCTCGCAAGACACTGCCAACACCTATCCGACCCGTTCACCGTCTGATCATTAGTCCCTGGCGAATCGTGGAAACGTTCCATCCATCTACGAGACGTCCTATGAAACGAAGTTTCACCGGTCGATTGACCAATCGTGTCGTGCCAGCGGACCAATAACTAATTAACAAGGATCAACGTCGAAATCCCTAACAGTCGCGGCGATTTCCCCAACGACAGAACACGCGGCCAAGATTCGTATCGCGGACACGAAGGTTGCATAATTCCCGCGGTCAGTCACGAGAAACACCGATCTAATCGCATGTTTCGGGATGATCGTCCGGCTAAAATTCCAGCTTCGCACGAACGGCGCAGCTCGCGAGGACTCGCCGCGGAGGGATGCTTTCGGGCGGCGTCTGTCGGCCAAGCAGCCATAAAACGACACGCTCGAGGTAATTAATAACGAAATTATCCCGGTGATAAGGCAGACCGAGGCCTGGTAAGCGTATCTCGTTGATTCGACTGGCCAGCAATAAAGCACCATTAACACCGGCCAGCATTTTTCCCGTAGCGCAGACCGCTAAATTATAAAGTCACCGTGGAGAACCAGATCAGACGCGATATTTCTTGCCCTCGAGAGCTCGTCCACGCTCGCTCCTCCCTTCGTGAAACGAATCCGTATCGACACGAGCACAGCCTCGTCCAGTTGATCCCTTTACGGATACGCGGATTCGTTTATCGGCGAATTTGCTGGTGAAAAACCCAGGAAAGGTAGGCTACCGCCTATGTAGACCGGTGGCTGCGTGGGTGCGGAAAGAACGCGTCCGGCCGGTGGTCGTGTCCCAACCTGCGATATCGAGCCGCGGGACCGGCGCAATAACAGTGATTAAGCTTTATCGCGGCCGTTTCAACGGACTATTTATCTGTCGGCCGCGAAATTACGCGCTGTAAAGACATAATAGGAACGTGATCCAATATTGTCGTTTGTCCGCGGCGGGTGACCGCGCGGCTGGAACCGGCCCCGCAAAAACTACCGGTTATTAATCGGGAATTTAGCACTTTTATGTGTTCCACCGGCCGGTACGACTTCATTCGCCGGGCAGATCGCAATAAGAGCCCGACGACGTGTACGCGGCCTAAGTCGATGTTCGCGTAAAGGGATTAGCGTTTTATTTTTCACCGGTTAGCCAACGTGGCCGCGACTACGGTGGAAGGGGTTGGAAGGTGGTGGTCGAAGTGGACGAAGAGGAACGGAGAAAAGGGGTCAGGAACACGCGTTCGCGGAGCGTTGGTGGATGGAAAAATGAACCGTGAGAAATTCGTGGCATTCCCATTAGCCGTTTCCCGGCGTGGCACGGGGCAGCAGGCTATTAAAATACAATAGGGTAGGAAAGCAACGGCGAACCGGTCGTGTTATTTTTTTCTAACACAATGCGATCGGGCCAGGACAGCGATAACTTTTGCAGCGCAGCACGCATCCGCGAAACACGGCGCGGATCGGGTGCGAAAAGGGACAGCAAAGATCCGCGAGAGACGCACACGGGCCTTGCACAACCGCGCGAGCACGCTTGAAAACAGAAAACCGATCTAATAGGGTGCGATTATTTACCGATGGTTTGCATAAGAATACGACAACTGAATGACCTATAGGAAATTGTTGTACGCGTACAAAAGCCGGAGAAATAGTTGGTTGCATATCGCGGTTGATTTATGGGGCAGAGAGCAGCTTATTTCTCCGAGTGGTTAACAATTGTTTCCTGACAATGAGCGTATATCAGATATGAGTGACACGAAGGAACGTTTTCTACCATTCATCAAGCTGGCACTCGGTCGGCGAGTAAAGTAATTACACGTTTTCCTGTGTCGCTTGAAAGGGTCATCCATCTGCTCGAAACCGGGGAAACAATTCCGCCAAGACGTGCCGCGCGACAAAATAAATCTCTAATTAGCGGCCTCGTGGAAGGAAGTTCGATAGCCCGAGTACCCACTCCGAGCCTTGCCGATCTCGCCTTCGTCGCGTTCGAACGTGCCGGTTCATTGAATATTCACGAATAGAAGTTCCGAAATTCAGAAATTCGTCGTCGGAAGACACTCGCGGCTAATGGGAATTTTTACGCGAAATACTCCGTCTCGTGTACCAATTAAACCGTACATCTTAATCAACCTACCGTCCCAATAGCGAAAACAACGTCAGGGCTGCGAAAACGACGTCGAGACCGAGTCGAATTTTGTGTCTGGTGTTTCGATGAATTATTAATATCTCAATTAAAATCGACACAATTACGACATATCTCTCTCTCTCTATCTGGAACGTGAATCGGATCCGCGGTGCATTTCAGACGAGTATTATTTATGTCGGTGATATCGTCACGAATAAGATTTTTGTCAAGCCCCGTGGGATAATTAGTTGGCCGTTGCTGGCAAAAAGGTCCAGCTGCCGATAATCTAAATAAAATTGTTGAAATCGTGACAGAGCGGTATTCCAGGTGAACCGTTCCCTTATATAACAAACGGTCGCTTTCCGACCGAGAAATATCATTCTTTTGTACCGTCGAATCTCGCGAGTCGATGAACTTTCGTCCATTATGCTGCTCTAATGAGAAATTCCGTTAGCGGGCAATCGGTCGAGCCGACAACGAGCGTGTATCCATTAGTCGTTTAATCGTTCTCGTTCAGCCGGGACGAAAATCGGCCTGGATCCGCCGATCCCGTGCTGCCTCGGCAACGTTCCGCGGCGTATAAATCGAACGAAAATCACGAGCGCGCACGGGAGGAAATGCTCGTTCGATTATACTATTAACTGACCTTTCGTTTATTTCTTCGTTCGGTGGAAATTTATCTGTGAACCGGTTAACCGATCGACGTGACTCTTCGTATCGACTCGCGAGCCCGGTTACGCAAGCGGGAACGTGAGAGCATTTTAACTTTCATAAGTTAAAAAGCACGCTGTTTTACCTGGGAGAATTCATTGTGCCGAGTAGTTAACGAACCCGCGTATCTTTGCTCGAAACTTTTACGCGACGTAAACGGAACGGCGATAGTTGGCCAGAGCGTTATCTCGCATCTACGGTGGTTAACGACTGTCGTTAGAAAAGACTGCGACCACGCGGCGCGATCTCGTCGGCGAAAGAATGTAACGAGGAGAACTCACCGGAGGAAGGTCGATCCGAGTATCTGGTGCAGTAGACCCAGGCAGGCCAGGGCAATTGCTTGCCCGGATCGGACACAGGTGGTCCGGTGGCGTTCGAGGAAGGACTGCCGGTCGTCACACCGCCGGAGGAGGCGTTGGTCGTCGAGCTCGTTTCCGAACTACTTTTCTCCGAGGTTTCGGTGGCCGACTCGAGAAAGTCCTTGGTCAGGTCGATGGGCCTCGAGCTGACTTTCTTGGGACGGGACTTCTTCAACGAGATCGGGTCGGTAATCCGTCTACCAAAGTCCGCTTTCAGTATGTTGTCTATACTGAACTTCAAGCCGGCCTGATGCTGCAGATTGTTGTTGTTATTATGGTTATTATGATGGTTACTGTTATTGATGCCATTATTCTGAACACCGTTGGCGCCAGGCATCGTTCTCCCGTTCTCCTCTCTCGCCCCGGGTGAGGCAGGACTGCCGGGTTCCCTCTGAAGGATCTTGCTAACGGAGAGTCGATGCTGGTGCACCGAGTTGGCCGGTACGTGTTGCACCTGCGACGTCTGATGAAGGTGAACGTGGCTGTTGGCGTGATGCAAGTGCTGGCCAGGATGCGGCATCAGCGAGGCCGTTTCCCTGGGATCCCTGCAGGCCGTAGGGTGGAGGACAGGGGTGGCTGCTTGGAGACCGGTAACGGCCGACGGTGGTGACAACGACAGCCTGGTCACCAGGGGAACGCTGATCGGGGTCCTGTGCAACCTCTCCACCGTGGGATAAACGATCTCGTGAGTCAGACCGTGCTGGACCCGGGCCGGATAGTCCGGGATCTCGGTTTCCCTGGACGAATACCGTGGCAGCAGGTGTTGCGGATGACTCGATTGATACCTGGGCACTATGACGTCCTGGATTGCCTCGGGCCGACCCGGCGACGAGGCGGTGGCCGACGAGGAAGCCGGTGACCTGACCGAGGACGCGGTAGGCGACGACGGTGGTTGACTGTAGGCCGGTGGACTCGGTGCCGAGATGTGATTAGCGGTTCGCTGATAGAACGCATCGTTGCAGCTCGTCGAGCTAGAAGGCGATGGTGTCGCCGATGTCCTCGTGTTCTCCTCGTCGCGAAAGTCACCGCGACTGCTCGCCGATTCTTGGTCATACCTGACCGAGCCGCAACCACGGATTCCAACGACGCTCGTGGGCGTCGGTTCGCTACCGACGCTCAATACCTCGCTGGTGTCGCTTTCGCAATCGCTGTCGGGATTGTTGCCGTCACTTCCTCGTATCTGATCCCGTTTCTCGGAGTCCTCGGGCTCCAGCCGGGTTGCCAGGTGATTCTGCCTGATCTCGTGGAGATCGTTCAAATCTAGACCGATGGATGGCTCCGGTGGCGTGTTCGACATGTTTCTTTCGCGATTCCCTTGTTTCTCTTGGGCAAAATTTCTCCCCTTACTCCGGCCGAGTGGATGATCGAATGGTACGAAGACCCGGTTAAGCCTCGCTGGACTTTAACCCTCCCATCACGACCGCCAACGAGGTCCCTTCGTCTTCGCTTCGCCTTTCGGTCTACTCGAGCGCGAACTTGGCCGAGTCGGAGATGGTTCGACGTATCTACCTAACGGATTCCGGCCGCTGCGAGTTGCCTGGAGGGAGCATTTTCGCGCAGGGCACCTGTCGTCCGATCGTCGACCGGCCGTGGATCGTTAACGAGCGAGCCCTGGTATCCGAGTCGCATAGTACCGCGAATTCTAACGTAGGACGCACTGTTCTCGTGGCAAATTGACAACTAGTCGCGCACGTTTCAGTTACTCTGTTACTCCCCGAGCACCGAGAGTACTCTTGCCCCGATTTCTTGCCGACGGACACTGTTCAGCCCAGCTGCTTCATGACTGATCGCCACGACGAGGTTCGACTTTATCTCTCATCTTGCCCCGCGTACGAGCTCTCGGAACCAAGTACACCGCGAACCAGTCCACCAGCGTGTCGCCAGCTCATTACTTCGACCGACAGTCCAACCGACAACGAACCGCGTCGTCCTCGCCGAGCTCTCGGAGCATCACCAACCTGTCGCGCCGCCTCGAAATCTTCTCGATGTGTCCATAATCCATTGCACTCTCACTTTCTTCGCGCTCTCCCTGCACCGGCTGGTGGTCCTTCGGACCCAGGGAGAGGTGTACGGGTAATCGTCGGGTGCACCGTGTATACGCGGACGCAACGGTGGTAACGCGCACCAAACGCAGAGTCAGCGAGCAGGAAACCGAGGCGAGAACGCGAGCCAAGGGCTCGGACGTGGCGCAAGGACCGGAAGGAGAGACGAAGACGCGATGCTTCGGACGAGGATCGGTGAAACGTGGAGTTGCTACACGGCGCTGGTAGACGCGGGTTTCAACGGAACCGTTGTGCGACGCTGTGGATCCAGGCCGGGCTGGTTGTCCAGTTGGTTGCCGCGAAGCGTCTGCGGCGAGGAAGCGGCGGGAGGGTCGACGATGGGCGTTTCTGGGCGTCGATTCCTCAGCCGCTACGCCCCTGAGCTGACCTTTTCAGGGGTGAAGACCCTGTCTAGGGGCGCGACCACTCGACATCTGCCGGCTGCCGCGAGAACTCGCGAACCTGTAACGCCCAGCGTTCCACCACTCCGTGCGAGCAACTGCTGATAGGCAACCCAGAACCCGGTTTCCCCTCTTCGCCACGGCTTCTCCTTCCTCCTTTCGTTCGAACACCTTTCCCGATTATCTCCGTTCCTCTTTCGCACCGGGCCTAGCCGCTCGTGTCCCCACTTGGCTCGCAGTCGCAGACCTCCAGTCTCTTCGTGTTTATCCGAACCCTCTCTCTCTTCCACCACCTCCTCTTCCTTCCACCTGCACGAAACGTTCTCCGTTTTACTTCTGGCTCCTCTATCTGCTCGTCCGGTGATCCAGTACGCTGCCCCTGTTCGCTTGTCCTTTTTAGTCGGACGATGTTCGTCTTCTTCCTGCTCGTGCTCGATTTATCCCCTCCAGACATTATCGCGTTGGCTTTCCAGATTCTCCTCGTCTCTCCTCGCCCAGGCTTTCACCCTCTCCTTTCATCTCGCTCCTCCGGCTCTCCTCTGTCTCCAGCACGTTCCGCCTGTTCTTTCTGATTCCTCTATCTGCTCTTAGATGATCCGGCTCTTAGCTCCTACCACGTTTAGCTTCTCTTCCCCCTGGGGGTTCCTTCCTCGCTCCTTTATTTTTCCCTCGCTCCAAACTCTTTCCGTCTCCCTCGCGCTCTTCCTCTTTCCCCCCGATTCTCTCCCCGCCCCCTAATCTTCTTCTCGCCGTCTCCACTACTTTCTCCTCCGTCCCTCGCGCTTTCTCGTTGCTTCGTTGCTCCCTCGATCGCGCGCCACCCTTGGCCGGAGCAGTCGGGTTGCACGGGTCGCGATCGTTTCCCGGACACCGGATAAATCAATCGCGAGGCAACCGCGGCAACGATCCCATGATCGTCGCTATTACGGTAATACACCGTTGTAACAATGCCCATTCGAGACATTGTACCGGCCTATCTATCCAATTTCATCTTTAGAGGCGAGTTACAGCGAACCAGGCTAATGCCTCGAACGGCTCTCGCGTGCATTATTAATCGTCCGCGGATCGGGGCGATTTCCTTTTTCTCTCCAGCAATTCCTCATCGCTCTCATGCATATTTAATCGGGGACGGAATCGAGGAACGATGTAGTCGGATTCCGTCTCCGCGACGGGGCACCCTTCGATTCGATCGGTATCGCGGAGGACGAGTCTTTCCGCGAGCAGCGTGTACCCTTTCGTTTCATCCCGCCGCGGTGTCACGGTGAAACACCCTAAGTGGTCGGTCGTGTCTCAGGATCTGTAACGAATAGACGTATAACCCGCGAGATATCGCTCGATCCGAGAGAGAATCGAGATAGGCGCGAACGAGGAAGCGGAAGGGTAAGAGTGGAGGATGCAGACGCGTCCGGCTGGAAGAAGGCACGTTGGCTCCGCGAATATCGATTCACCCCTGGCCGGTTTTTCTCCGGCGATGGAGAACGGTGGTGGCGTGCATGCGCGCCGTGAATCACGTATTCATTTTTCGTCGGGTTCCGTGAGGAGCTCGGGAGCGCGTCAACGTGCTCCCGGGCGATCGTTAAGGCTCATTATGGGCCGATCTTTCAGCGGATAGGAGGTAGCGAGAAGAAAAGAGGAGAAAAGGAAAGAAATGTCAGCTCGTAAATCGTCGGTCAGGTGAAGTTAAAGTGCGTCAACATCGATCCGCGACACGTAACTTCCTCCCCGAGTCTCAACACCGATTTCCACGCGCTGCATCCACCAACCCCCACCCGGCCGCTGCCCCACGGCGCGTTGAGAAGATTATCAGAGGGAAACGGTAGTGGAGGTGATCGATAGGGATCTAGAGGGCTCCTTACACTTGTAGCTTTCACTCCGGCTCCCTTATCGGGGTAATAACGTTTAATAATTATACGAGATGCGTCTCTCCGTGCTCGTGTTCGTGCAACGCTCGTTTCGCTCGCGCGATACCGCCTGGCTAGGTGCACGTCGATTAAAAACTTCTATTCCCAACTGTCGATGGCAATCGCCAACCCTGCTGTACCCTTCTTTCCTCCCCTCTTCCTCCACTCCTTCTACCGCGAATGAAGTTATAGACTCGTCATTGGGATGGAAGAACGCGCTTTCGTTCGAGAGTTTAGGAAGCCGCTTGTTAACAGCCGTTCCCGTCTCCGATTCGCCAACCGAGTCTTCCTTTTTTCCCCCTGCCCACGTTAGCAGAAGTAAAATTTATTACCGTGTAATTCCGGATTCACGACGCGCCTTTTCCACCGGAGAACGCGGAAACCTATGCTAATCCGATCGAATCCTACCGGGATAGTATCTGCCCGACGTGTTCGCGGACGCGCGTGCAAAACCTTTTACGGCATCCTCCGGTGGAAATTGTCATTTATGGAAATTAAAGGGTGGGAATTGACCGGCGGCCTCTGCAAATTTCCCGCCACTCCCGCGGACCAGCCATTCCACGGCCAATTTCAAGCATTCCCGGTCGTATCCCCGGTTCGTATAATTTCGTTCCACGCTCGGAGCAGATTCAACGAACACCGATTTTCTTCTCGCGTCTTCGGTATCAAAAACGTGTCGTTCGTCAGACCCAGGCTGCGAGCCAACTCGCGCAGCATCCACGGAGTACCCTGGTGTTCGATCAGCGATACCCGAACTCGTTACCGAACACTCCCCCTGTAAATTTCGTTAACACGGACCATCTTGCATTCCCGCGTTAACGAGCGTCCACGTGCTTGTTAGTCTCCGAAAGAAGTCCTTTAGGGAGTAGCACGCGAGTTCCAGAGACGAATTCCGATTCGCGTGCAGTCGTTCTGGTTCGACGAGTCGACGCAGTTGGCTGGCCATTCCTATTAGCTCACCCCTAGATTTTAATTCTACGCTGCGTCCGAACGAATGCGTGTGGCAGCTAGACAGGAGGGAAGGGGTTCGGTTAGAGGATTAAATGTTTGTTTTCCCGGCTAATTCGCGGTAATGGCGTTCGAAAGCTGCGCGTGGATTAGCTCGTGTCGCGATCACAGGTTGCGTTGAACGTCGGTTGTTACAGCGATAGCTAAACTGCGATTCAGCCCGAGTCTGCGGTATGGTTATCGTTCGTAAACAGATACCACGAAGGGATAAATCGAAACACGCGTTTGTATTATAATTGTCGCAGATTCCGAAGGTTAGAGAAACGAACACGATGCTTCGCGTATTCAGCGAGACAGTAAATTTTAACCCTTCGCACTCGAGAAGTGACCCTCGGTCACCACTTTATAAAATTTGGAACATCGATATTGATTAATATATGAAATTTAATGTGATGTAACAGTGTGCAAGGTATCGAAATCAAATAATTCTACAATTCTTTATTTACTGCTCAAAAAAGTATCGTCAGCTCTTTAATAGAAAATCTTTGATTTTTTACTCTTCTCTAGCCAAAAGATCGTCGAGTGCAAAGGGTTAATTAACACGTTGACTGCCACGCAAGTTTTCGTGATTCCGGTCTAAGAAGCCGATTTGGTTTAATCGTGTTGTATTAGTAAAAATTTTATTTATAGTGCATAGTAATGATTAAAAAGCTTAACACATTTGTTTCTTTTTTTAAAAAGAACGTTACGAATTATCTCGTAGTTGGCGTGCAAGATTGTTTTAAAAGTGATCACAAATAAACTTGTATAAACTTTTCCTTTTTGAATTATGCTACATTTATACTACGGGTTTCCTCGTAGCTGTACAAATATGGTAAATAACGAAGAGACGAGACAACTCGTAGTAGGCGTCCTGGGCAAGTAAACGACCTACGAAATATCTCGTAATTAGCAGTCAACGTGTTAAGAATAAAGAAAATAAGGGATATAATACAATTTATACAG